GGGTTCTGGTAGATCGGAACGTTCTGAAGGAAGCTGTGTCGGTCAGCATCTGAAATTGGGATCTCTTCGTCAAGTGTGTTAATGGATTGGGGCGGGGGAGTATCCGCTGCTGATTTGTGAGATGAGTCGGTCTCTCGCAGGGTTTCGTTCGAAATTGCCTCAGAGTGAATTGTTGACAACGGCAATTTGAGTTTGAGCATGGCAACTCGTGCTGCTGCTTCATCATTGCTGCTGTGGTGTCTTTGAAGTCTATCATGTCGTTTTGAGCTGTCGCCATGTTTTGTTGTGTGTTTTGTCGAAAAGTGTGTGTTTGTACACACACGGTATCTACAAGGCTATTTCATATGCACATACCCGAACAGACAAATACTCGAACCGGCCTGGTGAAGGCTACCACAATGACGAAATGTGCTTTGCACAGAAGAACACCCATAAGGCCCTAGCACTCAAGTATTTTCGCCCCTACCGCTGATTCGGACAGACTTGGGAGTAGCACTACTAGTCACGGGGAGCGATATTAATCTGGCTAGGCTGACACCAGGATTGCAAGTACTTAAGGACCGCGCCCCACCGCCGAATATTCGTGACGCGAATGGACAGCAAATACCCATCGTAGGTTGCGTCAACCTCAATGCAACGTTGCCCGATAACACCATTTCGCGCTTCACATCCTGGGTAACGCCACAATTGCCCGTCCCCTATTAGTGGGGTTGCCACAACTCGGGGCATGACTTGGGATTTCAAGACCCCAGAAGGTCGTAAAGACGATCAGTGGGATTTCAAGGCCCCTTTATTTATAATTACCTGCACTTGAACATCCAACGATCACACTACACACCGGCACTTGGATTCACAAATATTCCTCACTTGACTTAGAAACGATCAAGGAGTACTCAAATGAAGCTACATCCTCAATCTCCTGGATATAGCCTCACGAGAATCTCCATTATTACCCCACCATTCACGTCATCCTTATTCTGGGAAGCATTACTCCAAAAATGGTTCTTACCATTCATAGTCCCCGAACGAATCATATCTGGTAACGCAACAATTTTCCATTCCCGGTATGCAGAGGATATGACCTCGCGTTTGAAAAGATCGTGGACTCACAACGCTCCTGGATTCCCACAAGCAAGAGCCCCAGTTGAGATTATCAATCGACATCTTAACAACTTCTTTAGGACCCCAGAGGAACTACCGCGTACCTGGCCATTCCAACTGAGACTTCTGGCGCAACAATATAACCTGACGCATCATGAAAGTCTGGGTTTCTCTCCAGCTGCACTGCTTTTCGGTCGGCAAACACCCCCAACAGACTGGAATTACTGTGGACTTGCTAAAGGACAATGAACAATACGTCATGGAAACCAACGAGATCAGACGGCTAGCCGACCAGCGTATGAAACAACTCCAGAGCGAATTGGACAAGAAGATGGCGCATATCAACTTTAATCCTGTTGTTGGCATGATGGCATGTGCTCGTATC